GGGGAGGGGGGTGTTGGTTCCCTAACACCTGCGATAAATGAGGGACTACTGTATACTTTTGTGATAAAACTAATCCTGTATTGGAAGAACCCTCTGTTAACCTCTGCTAACAAGCAATAAAGTGGAATAAGAAGCCATTTTGAATCATTTAAGCAAAGACGAGTGTATTTCTTGATGCTACAATTTTCATTTGGGGAAAAAGGTAGCTTGTTGGTGAATCTAAACAGCTTCAGAAATTCTGAACTAAATTTTGTGCATTAGCTTCCCTAAACAGCTGCCCAGCACTTTGAAAATAAAGCATTTATCTAAATAGTGTAAAACTATAAGGGTTGCCACATTGTTTCACAATTACTGGTTCACTTTTTCTACAATCATGACATAAAAGCTAACAGATGAAAAACTGACAAATGTTCTGCTTGGTAGCTGCAGGAAGTTACATCTGCTGTTTTCTAGCAAAAGGCAAAACGACAAGATAATAGATAATAGAAGAAAAAAAACATCACATAGTTGTTGCAGGGGATCAGTTTATTTTTTACCTGATCTAAAAAAGGTTTATTTGCAGTTTTCTCTGTGAGAACACCTATTTGACCGCACAGTGTAATAAGGTTTGAGAGAAACAACCTGAACTTCACTCGCACTCGACGCCTGCAGCTAATGAACTGAAGCTGACCCATCACGACTTTAATCAGGATTGTGGGAAAAGCCTTAGGAGGCCAGAATAATATCTGTATCGATCAGTGAGCGCTAATAAACTGCAAGATCTGCTGAGACAAACGACTAATGAAGCTTGGGAGTCGGGTTAAACGGAGGAGGCCATCGACTCGTGTGGGTACCTGGTGAACTGTTTGCTGTCTTCATGAACCTCCATCTCTCGGCTCTTAAACTCGTTCAGCTCCTTACGGATGGCAGCCTGGGGGACACAACACACAAGTAGTACAACAGTACATACAATTATAATCTATCATTTCTCTCCAATCCAACACACCCACCAGTTTTGACACAATTACAAGTTTTGAAAAAATTTTAAACACGTCAATGAACCAAAATAAATCTTATTTATTGATTAAAAAAAACAAAACTTTATTTAAGCCTGTTTAATGAATAAAATCTTGCAAAAAAAAAAAAACACACGATCGTCCAACAAATAATTTAGAATTCGTTCAAACAATCCATTAAACTAAGAATCTACAATAAATTAGGTCAACTGTAAAAACATAATTTTTGATGGAACAACGAAAACCTTATTTAAATAAATGAATATATTTTTTCTTATTATTGTAATTGGACACTGACATTAAATGTGGGCTGGCATGTACTTGTCTGTGCCTGTGAGTGTTCATGAAATATCTCTATATCTAAAATATCTCATGAACTAGTAAAGAAATTTATAATTTTTTTCATAAAGCAACAATAAGATATACATCTATAATGAATTAATCTTTGGAATGAAGATGGCCACCCCAGATAATACAGCATAAAATGGCTATAATTCAGTTTGCTTGCTGCTGTTTTACAGACACTAAGTTACAGTTTAGTGTTCTAGCTGAGCATCACATCCAGTGCATAGTCCGAGCACTACAGTTAACAAGTTATTTCACATCTTCTACATTTATATTTATCATGTAGTTATTTATATGAACATCAGGGGGCAGGCTTGACTAAAATTAACCATGCTCAATAATTAAAACTCTTTATTTATTGTTCTGTTTAAGGAAATCTACTTGTTGGCTGATAACCGATACTAATACAAATATATATGTTTTTCCTAGCCCTACGTACAGAGACTACACAGCTTTCTCTGCTGTGTAATTAAAATACTACATTATTCTGCATTGTCTTTGTCAATTTGGCCTGCTACAAAGTGCAGATGCCAAAAAGGGGGCTGAAAATTATGTAACAATAAATAAATATATAATATATATTAAAAAAACAGCGACTTTTATATCGGTGAGCTATGTTGATGGAATGGCCGATGTCCAATATTTAACTTTATCGCTAATATCGACAGATACCGATACCAAGCCGATAACGTGCATCCCTAGTAGTAACCAAACAGGTGGACAGAGTAAAGCTTGCAAAGTTGTGGACTTCGTGTATGGTCAAGTTTTAAGAGCCTGCACTGAGCTATGACCTAAATCCCACCGAGCACCTTTGGGATGAAGTGACACTGCAAACTGGGAGCTGAAGATAATCAATGTCTGACTTTGGTTGTGCTCTTGTGACTGAACAAGGTCAAATTCTTGCAGCCATAGAAGAAAATGTGTTTTTTTTAAGCAGCTGATATAAAGTAGGTTCATAGAAGCAAAGAATTTTAACAAACAACAATAAAAGGAAATGCACTCTTCACACTCTGTTTTTTTATATCTTCATTATCTTATAAAATACTTAAGCTCATAATGTAAAAACAGCACTTAAACTTGAATACAAAGCATTCTCTATAAAACTCTCGGCAGTGCTTTTAGCAGCAGTACCTTGTCAGCAGGAGTAAGTCTCGTCCACGGTTTGTCTGCCTTCCGATCATAATCCTTGGCATCCGTCACCTCCACGTACTCGTTAAAACGCAGAATCCTCCGAGCGATGAGCTCTGCCACTGTCGGCCTCACGCTCAGCTACACACACACAAAACGTACAGGGACAGGGCTGGAAAATTATAAGTAAACACACACGGCAAAAATAATATCATAGCGTTTGTCTTTTTTTTTTTTGTTTTGACTGTATTAGTAGTTAGGATTTAAATATTCCATTTTCCAAGTTCAAATAGAAACTTCACTTCCACAAGTGTCCACTAGATGGACCCATCTGCAAATAAAGCTTCTTCTTTTTTTTTTTTTTTTAAACAAACTTTCACTGCCTAAAATGGCAACATTATGCTGCAAGATAAATTTAGTGTCCTATCTGTATTTATGCATGCATGTGTTTGTGTGTGGTGTTTAGGGTACCTTTCTTGTGAGTCTCCTTTTAATCTCCTGCTTGGCTTCTTTCTCCTCAGCTTCATTTTTCTCTGCATGCAGAAAGTTCAGTCATTTCATACATGTGATTTGCTAGATTCAAGTTTGTGCGTGACTTTGAGAGCAGTGCAGTGTGCTTATTTTTGCATAAACATACCGTATTTTCCTGTGTATAAGTCTTTTTTTTTAAATAGATTTGTCAGTCCTGCGACTTATATGCTTTTTTTTTCATATTCATAACGCAATTTTTGACTGATGCTTGAAATTTCTAAGAACTGCAACAGCGAGTCTTCCAGTGCGCGCTCGCTTCACTCAGCTGGTGCAGGCGGAGGAACGCTAGAGAGCTTGCAGCTCCAGCCGTGATGGATGGATGGATGGTGCTGCGCCACCCAGGCGAAATGAAGCTGTTTTGACTATTAAAGTGCATTTATTAGGGAAAAGTTGAACTGAAACATACCTTTGTTATAATGTCGAGCAAACAAACAATTGTTTTGAAGTGTTAATCTTGTTAAATTTCTAAGAGCTGCAACAGCGAGTCCCCCCGTGCATGCTTGCTGCACTCAGCTGGTGCAGGCGGAGGAACGCTGCAGAGTTAGCGGCTCCGGCCACAATGGATAAACTCCTTGACGTGAAGCGGTTCAATTAGAGAAATCTAAGCAAAATATGTCACAACGAAGTCTCACAACTTCTTATTGCCTCTTTTTTTTAGTTTCTTTTTCCAAAATGAAATGTCATGCTGTAAATATGAGTGCCGTTAAGTTATTCTGTCACATCAGAGACATATTATGAGCGTATAAGCACTGATAGCACAGCAGCTACCAAACCTAAAACACACTCATTTCACTGAAAAAGGATCATACCTGGAATCTATATAAACTTAATTAAATAAAGTGAATAATATTTTTAACAAAATGATCATGAGAAGTTTGTGCCTTTGGAACAACATGCGGAGGAAGTGATTTAGTATTTTCAGTTTTTCTTCTTCCTTTTTTTTTTGAAGATTCAATTTATTTATCGTTACACAACACAAAATTGTATAATGAAATTACAAGACAGCCAACTCCCATTCTGAGCTCATTATCTGTGAAAGAAGATTCTCGTTGTGCTCCTGACTAATTTATTTACTCCGTTAAAGCTAAGCGTGTTACAGCAGCTCTGACAGTCTCCTGCTTGCTCAGATTTAGGTGCTAAATGAAGCAAGGACCAACAAGTAGAAGACTTTACTATCCTATAAAGTTATAAAAAATAAAACACACTCATTGTTCACTTCATTTTCTTTAACAACGGTTACATGAAACACAACTCCACTTATATGCAATATTCTAATAGTCCATACATTTTGCAAACATGACATTTAATGTGTTTAATTGCGTCTGATGGGACTGATGGAAACTTACGCTTCAGGATGTTTCTCTGCTCCAGCTCCTCTGTTGTGGGTCTTTGGCTCAGACGCCTAAAACGATAAAAATACATTCACTTTTCTAGAAGGGACATTTAAACATTTTAACCATTTTATCTAGATTATGTGGAAACAACACAACAGCATTCTCTTTTTGTCGTTTCAACAATAATTCAAAGGCAGTTTGCCCTCAGTCTGTGTGTGATCTGTACTGTTACACCACCCACAACCACATTAAAATAATCATTAACAAACTGTTATTATCACAGTGCTAAGCCAAACTGATGATGGCAGGGAACACCTGCTCACACTTTCACAGCGTTCTCGTGTGCACCTGACTAATTTGGAGCCTATCTGCTGGCGGAGCTCGTGCCGCTCGGTCTCGGAGCTCCTTGGCAGAATGTTCTTCTCTTCCAGCTCTTTCTTGCTCGGTCGGTTGCCAAGCTTAATGTTCAGCGTGTCTCGTCGACGGATCTTGTTGGCCAGAGAGTCTGAAACAGAAAGGGAGAGGGACGGTTAGAAACAGGATCCTTGAAGCTGTGAAAAAAATAAATAAATAACTGTTGAGATATGGGAGATTGTATTTAACCATCACTAAAGCACATCAACTATGTCAACTTGATTATTTATAGAGTAGATCAGCTTTAATTACAGATGAACAAAGAACGTCTTCTAAAATGCACAAATTAAAAATTTTAGCTGCACTTAAGTTTTAAATTTGACCATTTTTACACTCACGTGGACAAATCATGCAGACAGAAATCTGAATTATTTGATCACTTGTAGACAAATAATTATACATAGTCTAATAGTTGGATAACTTCTTTATTCTGTTGTTAACAGTTTTTCCTTTTTATACTAACAAGACCTAAAAATGAGCAGGATGCAAAATGAAATGTATAAACTGTCTTACATTAGAGTTATAGTAAGTTAAAGTGTGGGTCGGTGAGTTAAATGAAAACTAGAGAAATTGCATTTCCTGCGAAAATGCAGTGTGAATGCTTATTGCTGAAGAACTTGCTAAAAAAAACATAGCTGAAATGGAAGGAGAAGCCTAAGTTAGTAGAAGAGAGCAGAAATAACACATATTTGCTGAATTAGTTTAAAAATGCAGAAACGAGCATAAAAATTGGGAAATTTGCTAAAAAAAAGGCTTAAATTAGCAAAAAGTAGCTGAAAAGGCAGAAAGAAGCTTAAAATACCAGAAAGAAGCAGAAAGAGCTGAAATGAGCCCAAAAAATGTGGAATTAGCTGACAAATATTCAATTAGCCAAAAAAAAATAAAATAAAAATTGTAGCTGAAACAGCAGAAAAAGCTGAAAGTAGCAGAAATAACTTGAAAGCAGCAAAACAAGCTGAAATTGGAAAAAAATAAGTAAATTAGGCTGAAAGTAGCAGAAATTACCACAAAAAAAAATTGAATTTATCTGAATACAGATGAAATTAGCTAAAAAAAATGCTAACAAGTTAGCTGGAAAGGTAGAACAAGCTTAAATTAGCAGAAGAAAGCAGAGAAAAACATGTTTGCCCAGTTTAGGCTGAAAGAAGCAGAAATAAGCACAAAAAAGTGGGAATTGTCTGAAGAAAAAAAAACTGAAATTAGCAAGAATAAAACAGCTGAAAAGTAGCTAAAAAAATCAGAAAGAAGCTAAAATTACAAGAAGGAAGTTGAGAGAGAGCAAATTTGTGCTGAATTAGGCTGAAAAAAAATTGAAATGCATGCAAAAAATGTGGAATTAGTTGAAGAAGCTAAAATTAGCATAAAACAGCTAAATAGTAGCTGAAATATCAGAAAAGGCTGAAACTTGCAGAAAGGAGCTGAAGGGTGCATAACAAGCTGAAATTAGCAGAAATAAGTTAGAAAAAGTACAAAAAATGTTATAGTTAGCAAAAATAATCTGAAAGGAGCCAAAAAGCTGAAGCAAAAACAAAAAACAGCTGAAATTAGCTGAAAGTAGCTGAAAAAATAAAATAAATTGCACAAGGAAGCTGAAAGAAGCTGAACCAGAACAAAATGTAAAAGGAGCAGTAAAAGGTTGTAAACAGATCTAAAGATCTTAAGGATGTAAAATGAACTCAATTCATTTTCTATTAGAAAAAAAAAGTGTCAGAAAAGGCTAAATATTTCAAAAAGCTAAAGTTGCACCAATACAAAAAGTCATGGCACCCTTCTTCTGAATGTTTTGATAAATGATTTGTTGAAATAGCACAAAAATTGTGGAATGAGAAAGATGCCGATAACTGTACGGAAGAAAAAAGGATCACATAAGTGAATGCTTTATGAACATTCACACAATAAAACCTTGAGGACGAACAAGCACGTCTGACTAAAGGCACCATTTAAAACCATTTTAATGAAACTCCTCTAACAAATGTCCATTGTCACGTTTCAGTTGAGCTGTTCAGTGAACTACTGTATATAACAAAACGTGAACACCATACTGTTTTCATAGTCTTCATCCTCCTCCTCCTCTTCGTCATCGTCCCGATACAGGATGGGTCCATCAGAATCAGAGTCACTGGTCTGGCTATAAGTTGGTCTGTCGGGGATAATGGTGACCTCAGCCTGCTCAGTTTTCACACTAGGACCGTGCGGTTTTTCAGTGGCGCCCTCCTCCGACCTGCAGAAGCCAGAAACAGGCCAGCATGAGCGCATGAACTTTGTTCTGAGTGTAAACAAGTTTTAGACACAAAATGTTTTTTTTTCTATTAACCGAAAAAAAAAGTTATTAGATTAAAATTAACGGGCTAAAATGGCGAAAATAAAAAAAATAAATTCACATAATTCTGTTTTGAGTCCACTAAGTTAAAAAAATTCATGTGAGTGGATCAGATGTGACAAAGAAGCACTTTTACAGCTCATATTTGATTAAATTCTGCTTCTTCCACTTTATCTGCTGCTCGCATAGTTAATTTCAGTCATGCTGCATTCAATGAACCCAAAAAATGGAAAACTAAACATTTTTGCTTTTGCTTTGATGCAAGCTGTAAAAGTCATAAAAATGTTTTATCAAGGTTCATGCTCAATCATCCAGGTAAAAAAAATCCAACAATGTTCAGACAGGTCATCTGGACAGCTTCTTTTTTTTTTTGTCGAGACGTTTCGCCCTCCATCCGAAGGGCTTCATCAGTCGGAGAAGTCACAAACAGTTTTCCCCACTAAGCAGTACCGTATTTTTCGCTGTATAAGTCACATCTTTTTGCACAAATTTGCAAGTCCTGCGACTTATACATCGAAGCGACTAATATACATTTTCCCCATATTTATAACACAATATTTGGCTGAGATCTGATGATTTCATTCATTCTGACATGGAAAATATTTAACACTACCATTTTCAGCTGCTAGACGGTCCTCAAGTCATATGGCAAGCCAAGTGTCTCATTAATAGGTAAAAGTTTTTATTAATGAGACACTTGGCTTGCCATACCAAGCCACCTTCGTTTTGCTCCGTGATTCCTGGAGCAAACGTCAAATCAGCTGCATTTCGCCTGGGCAGCGTGGTGAAACGCAGCTGATTTGACCATTAAAAGTGCATTTATTAAGGAAAAGTTAGACTGGGACCACCTTTGATATAATTTCGAGCAAGCAAAACATTTTTTTTAAGTGTTAATCTTGTTAAATTCTTGTTAAAGTCCTCCAGTGCTGCCATTTGGCAGCCAATCAATTTTTGGCACTACACCGCCCCACATTTCCAGATTGTTAGCGGTGATGTGTAACCAACGCGACATGTCAGCGGTGACGCATAATAGATTCGACTTACACGGCGAAGCGACATATATATATATTTTTTTTTCACTTTATTAGGCATAATTGGACTGATGTGACTTATACGGCGGAAAATACGGTATACAACCAAAACATAGAAGCTTAAAGTACAGTAAAGAGTCTCAATGTTATTAAAAAAAACCAGTTGCAAAAATAAGTCTAAAGACAGGCTATATGGAAAACCTTGCAATGATAATCATGACGTATTTTGACATGTCATAGGCAAAGTATTTAAACTTTATGTCAACCTGTGAAGAATCATGCCTGAAAATAAGAAATCATCGTGCAGCTTCATTCAGTCTGTGCAGTAAGCTAATTAAAAACAAGATACAAATAAGGAGATGAAGAATGTGAGAAGTTATAAAGTTGCATGTTCTAACAAGACTTTTACCTCTGGCCATTCTCTACACCGCACTCCGTTTCTCCATTCTTCTTAACTTCTTCCCCTTTGGTCTTTTCCTGTTTCTCCTGCCGTGTGCCAACCTCTGTCTCTCCCTCTGTGAAGGACGTGTCCTCTGTAGCCATGTTGATATGGGGGGACTGGACTCTGGTGTCAGCAGCAGTCCCTTTGTGAGTCTCTTCACCTGAAGTTGAGCTACCAGGAGCTGGTTTAGACTCTAGATCAGGTTTAGAAGCTGCCCGACTTCCCTCTGCCTCATTTCCTGAGGCTTTAGATGAAGGAGGCTTGTTGACCGAGGGAGGTGGTGAGGGTTTTAACTCCCCAGGCTGGCTAGGAGTCTCTGTGGAGTGTTTCTGAGGTACAGAAGAAGAAGTCGGAGTGTCTGATTTTCGGCTGGCCTTTGCCTCTGTCCCGTTAGCCTTTGCTGGAGCTGCGGTGTCCTTAGGCACTCGAGAACGAGGCGTAGATGAGGAGACGGGGGGAGTTTTTGCTGTGCATCCCGTCTTCTTTGGATTTGAGGATTTGGCTGAAAAATAAAAATTAAAAAACGGAAAATATATTTAGGTGTTTAGGTAATTTTAAGAAAAGCAGGTTGCATTCAAAATATCTGACTGTTCCACCAATAAACTCCGGTCCAAATAAAAATGTATTTGAGAATGTTTTTTAAGGCAATCTGTAATACAATACTAAAAAAGGAAAAAGAACAGAAGAAATTTCAGACACTGTCCAGCTGTATCGTGTTTGATTGACAGAAGTCCCATCACTGGTGTGAAAATTAAAAAAACATAAAAACTGGAGCAGAAAACGTGTTTTTAGCAGCAGCATTTAAAGTACTCCAGGTAATCCGCAATGTAATCCTGAAAACTGATATTTGTGATTGTTGTGTGTTAGACATTTATCTGCTTGCTTCAAAAAGACAAGAGGACAAGACTAATATTCATGTTTGCCAGCTATATAAGACACTTAAAAGAGCCTGCATTATGTCCATTAACATGTTAGAGAGACATCAAATATTTAAAATGTTACAATATAACACAGTGCTGCAGGATCTTGTCACCATCTATCATGTTTGCTGGTCCATCACAAAGACAAAGAGCCATAAACTTTCACAGATGGTCCTAATTAATACTTTACTGTCCAAAACACTTGTCCATCTTTGAACTGCAGATGGAAGCTGAATCCTTGAAGGCACAGGGAGAACATAAACCATCGTGCTGCGAGATAATGGAAAAGACCCACTGCAAACCAAAGCCAGTCACACTGAATGTGTGAAAAGACTTATTGTTTTAGCTCCTGGCTCTTCCAAACCTCTTTGACCATAGTGATTGGCTAGCTGATCAATTAAAACGATTAAGAAGTTCATTTCTTATTCAAAGCGTCTCAAACAAGCCTCTAAGCCGGCCACAGTTAAACGTTAGGTGGCAAAGTAGATCGACGAGGGGAGATGATCACAAAAGGAGACATTTTGGGAAGTTTAAAAGCAATGCCTTCTGAGAGAGAACGCCACGTTAGGTTTGCAGGCTGCACAGCTGCAGAGAGGAAAGCTCTGCAGAAAGTGGTGAAGGCTGCACAGAAGACTGTTGGAGTCAGTCTCCACCCCATCACAGACATCTACACCTCCAGATGCAGGAAGAGGGCCACCTGCATCATGAAGGACCCCACTCACCCAGCATACAAACACTTTTTGCCCCGCTCCCTTCAGGAAGGAGGTTGAGGAGCACTAAGTGTAGAACCACTAGACTGAGGAACAGCTTATACCCTGAAGATGTTATACTCATAAATCCCTAACTATAAAAGTCACTGTAATGCCACTTAAAGTGGTGATATATGACTTAACTGTACTGCTGATTATCCATGCTGCTGATCTCTTGCATTTATGCTGCTGCATTCATACCCAACTGCTCACTACAGACTCATGTTCAGGCTGCTGTTTAATATACTGTATTATTTAACATTATAAGCATATATCTTAGATATTTTAGCGTTCATTTAGCGTATATCTTTGATCTATATATACAGTTTCTTTTTATACTTTATATTTTGCTACCTGGGACCTTGAGTACACAATTTCGTTCCACCACATTCAAGGTTTCAAGGTTCTTTATTTGTCATTCGCACCCCATGTGGTACATGTGGTGGAACGAAATTGTGTACACAGGGTCCCAATTACATCCAACAATAAAATGTAAAAGAAAAATGTTAATAAGATCTAAGATATGAAGTAAGAAAAAAAAAAAAACTAAATATACACTAAGCACTAGTAGCATAAAAACATTACGTCGAACAGCAGCACGAACACGAGTCTGAGTGAGCAGATGAGCACGAATGAACACAGCAACATGAAACAGATCAGCAGCAACATGATTTTTCACAGTGATTATCCTGATTAGATATTCATGAGTCTAACAGCCTCAGGGTAGAATGTACCACATGTGATGCGAATGATAATAAAGAACCTTGAACAAGTTTGATCTTTGGTATTATAGTTAATATGAATAGTCCAAAACCAAATTGTACACAAACAACGATCTACAGTGGCTCCTTTAATTATTGAAGCACAAAGTGTTTAAGCAATCCACCACATCTTGACCATGAAACACTGACGCTTTGTTAAATCTGAACCATCTCTGAAAAATACAGAATACCTAAAGGAAAACTGAATGAAGCAGCCATTCTTGTGTCTGTGCTGTCTGTGTGTTGGCAAAAGGAGCCCGAGGTAAAGAATGAGCATGAATGTGCAAGTCAGACAGGAATGAAACAACTTCTGTGCCACTTATTAGTAGCTTCAAACTTCAGAAAAGACTACAGACCTCACAAGCGGTAATATGAGCTCAGTGTTGCACCTTTGGTCCATGCTGTATGTTACAACACACAAATACTGGGTGAGGAGGAGCATGCCCTCACACTATTATATGAAAAATCACACCAACATATCACAGTTAAAGCCACGCAGAACTGATTTGACTCGCACTCGTGCTCTCTCTTTCTCTCTCTCTCCAACACACAAACGTGTTGGACCAGAGGTGACTCCAGAGCTGCAAATACACAGTTACTTCTGCTTTCTCAGAAAACATGATTATAAATGAAACATTGTGCAGTTGCGTGACTGGTGATCTCGTCTAACACGTAAAGGACACTTTCAAGGCAGGGAAACGCTCCAATACACTATACCATATTTTTCACCGTATAAGTCGCACGTTTTTGCATAAATTTGCAAGTCCTGCGACTTATACACTGAAGCGACTAATATATGTTTTCCCCCATATTTATAAAAAAAATTTTTGGCTGAGATCTTACGATTTCATTCATTCTGACATGGAAAATATTGACTACTACCATATTCGGCCGCTAGAGGGCCCTCGAGTAATATGACAAGCCAAATGTCTCATTAATAGGTAAAAGTGGCTATTAATGAGACACTTGACTTGCCATACAGAGCCACCTTTGTCTCATTCCGGAACTCCTGGAGCAAACGTCAAATCAGCAGCATTTCGCCTGGGCGGCAAGGCGAATTGCAGCTGATTTGACCATTAAAGTGCATTTATTAAGGAAAAGTTCAACTGAGAAATACCTTTACTATAATTTCGAGAAAATAAATAATTGTTTTTAAGTGTTAATCTTGTTAAATTCTTGTTTGGGTCCTTCCGTGCACGCTCCCACTTTGCCATTTGGCAGCCAATCGATTTTAGGCCCACATTTCTGGGTGGTCAGCGGTGACGCATAAAAGATCAGAGTCAGAGATTCTTTATTGTCATTCACACCACATGTGGTACAAGTGGTGGAATGAAATTATGAACACAGGGTCCCAGTTACATCCAACAACAAAAATGTAAAAGAAAAACAATTAGCATCTAAGATATGAACTAAGAAAAACATCAACTAAATATACACTAAGCACTATAGCATGAAAACATTACGTCGAACAGCAGAATGAACATGAACATGAGTCTGTGTGAGCAGATGAGCACGCATGAACACATCAACATGAAACAGATCAGCAGCAACATGATGTGATTATCCTGGTTTCACGAGTCTAACAGCCTCGGGGTAGAAGCTGTTCCTCAGTCTAGTGGTTCAACACTTAATGCTCCTCAACCTCCTTCCTGAGGGAAGCGGGGCAAAAAGTGTGTGTGCTGGATGAGTGGAGTCCTTCATGATGCAGGTGGCTCTCTTCCTGCATCTGGAGGTGTAGATGTCTGTGATGGTGGGGAGACTTGACTCCAACAGTCTTCTGTGCAGCCTTCACCACTCTCTGCAAAGCTTTTCTTTCTGCAGCTGTGCAGCCTCCATGCCACACGTTGATGCTGGAGCACAGGATGCTCTCCACTGCACACCTGTAGAAGGAGGTGAGGACTGAGCTTCCCAGTCAAGATCGTCTCAGCCGCCTGAGGAAGTAGAGTCTCTGATGGGCTTTCTTGATCAGGCTGGTGGTGGTGTTGCCCCAGCTGAAGTTGTCATTCAGGTGTACACCGAAGTACTTGTAGCTGGAGATCCTGTCTAACTAACAGTCTAACCGATCCTGTCTAATTCTGAATGCTAGGAAACGCCTTGTATTTGTGACCTTCCTTCCCTCCATTGATTACGGTGACATTATTTACATGAACGCTCCTACAAGAACCCTGCAGATGTTGGATGCTGTCTATCATGGTGCACTAAGATTCAGAACTGGCTGTGATTATCGTACCCACCACTGCACCCTGTATTCACTGGTTAACTGGACATCATTAACTTTACACAGACTCTCTCACTGGTGCATTTTCATCTTTAAATCACTTCTTGGTCTGCTGTCTTCATACATCTCCTCCTACATGTCTCTGCATGAGTGTAGCTACAGCGTGCGCTCTCAGGACATTATTACCTGCAGTGTTCCCTCAACGAGGACTGAACTAGGCAAGAGGGCCTTCTCCTACTCCACTCCTGTTTCCTGGAATCATGTAAACATGATTGTTAAATCGTGTTTCTTCCATCTGAGGCGGCTGTCTAAACTGAAGCCCATATTGTCCAAAAATAACCTGGAGACAGTAATACATGCATTCATTACATCTAGGCTTGATTACTGCAATTCACTCCTGTTTGGTATCAGTCAGACCTCCATTGCACGACTACAACTGGTCCAGAATGCAGCAGCCTGATTTTTAACCAGTACAGGCAAAAGAGAGCACATTACACCAGTTTTGGCCTCATTGCACTGGTTACCGGTTCACTTTCGAATCCAGTTCAAAATACTGATGTATGTCTACAAATCACTGACCCGCCCCCCCCCCCAAATCTCTCTGATCTGCTACAACCATATGTCCCTCCACGTTCCCTGAGGTCAGCGGACCAGTTGCTCCTCACAGTTCCAGGATCTCGTCTTAAGCGCAGAGGTGACAGGGCCTTCTCTGTAGCAGGACCAAGACTCTGGAACGAGTTACCTCTGCTTGTCAGACAGGCCCCCTCCCTCTCGGTTTTCAAGTCCCATTTAAAAACTCACTACTATTCAATAGCTTTCAACACCAGATGAGTTTTGATCCTGTATGCTCCACACTGGTTTGTCGTCATTATCTGCATCGTTCTTATGTCTATATTCTGATTTACCTCATTTTGTATTTTGCTTTGTGGGTTACCTGTTGTTTTGTCTGTACAGCACTTTGGTTGGCCTTGTTGCTGTTTTAAGTGCTCTATAAATAAAGTGGTATGGTATGGTATGGAATATCTTACAAAAAGACCTGAAGCTCTCGACCTTGACCTCTCTAAGTGGCTTTAAGAATCTGTTGGGACTCCTGGCAGGGACCATTGCAGACATGTTCCTGTTTTTAGTTTTCTACATTCGCCTTATAATCCAGCTGTTTTTTGTTACTTTTTAAAGCCATCTTATTTATATTTAAAAAAAAAATCTGTATGCTTTTTTTTATAACTGTCTATTGTTGTCGCTGTTGTCCATTGTTGTCATCATTCTTTGTTGAAATCAGGTCTCTCTTGTAAATGAGTCCTAAAGGCTCAATGGGATTTATCTGTCTAAATAAAAGTTGAATGAATGAGACCACTTCCACTGAAGATCCTCTGATGTTCAGGGGGGTGTAGATGTGTTTGTTCCTTCTGAAGTCCACAATCATCTCCTTTACATTGATGTGAAGGTTATTCTCTTTGCACAACCTCTCCAGGTGTTCCACCTCCTGCCTGTAGCTGGATTCATCATTGTTTGTGATGCATCCCACCACCGCTGTATCATCTGCAAACTTTACAATATGACAGCCTGGATGGGTAGCTGCAAAGTCATACGTGAGCAGAGTAAAAAGGAGAGGGCTGAACACACCTCCCTGAGGAGAGCCAGTGCTGAGGGTTATGGTGGAGGAGGAGATGTTGTGGATCCTCACAGACTGTGGTCTGTTTGTTAAGAAGTCTAGTACCCAGTTGCAAATGGAGGGGCTTAGTCCTAGTGTGAATAGTTTGTCCATCAGGGTTTGGGGGATGATGGCGTTGAAGGCAGATGTGAAGTCCACAAAGAGCATACGGACATAAGAGTCCTTATGCTCCACGTGGTTGAGCGCAGTGTGGACCACAGAGGAGATGGCATCCTCTGTTGATCAGTTCTCGCAGTATGCATACTGATGAGGGTCGTCCTCTTTGATGTTGACGGTCGTTTTGATGTGGGTCATGACCAGTTTTTTTAAGCATTTAGTGACTATCGGGGTGAGGGCCACTGGCCGATGCAAAAGATGCAACTTATACTGTGAAACAACTTATTTATGTTTTTTTTTCCACTTTATTAGACATTTTTGGACTGATGTGACTTATACTTATTAATCAAGTATCTCTTGTAAATGAGTCCCCAAGGCTCAATGGGATTAACCTGTCTAAATAAAGGTTGAATGAATGAATGCAGCGATGAGACGTGTACGGCAGCAAGTACTGTAATCTTAATAGAAGATTTTTTTTTCCCGTGTCGTTTTAATGGCACAAAAAAAACGTTGTTCAATAAGCTTGGTTGTATTGTTATTAGATTTCTAGTGATAAATAAAAAAGACTGCAGCCGAGCGCTAATTTTGAGAAGCTGCAAAATGTAATTTTTTTTTTACTGAAACCATCAATTACAAATTTATACAGAAATTAAATATATTTATCTATACTGCATGTTGTTAAGAGAATTGCTTAAAGAAAACTTTGTTTCTCCTCACACAATGATACAAACCTATTTGACCATGCAGGAAGGCAGCAACATTCAACAGGCTTAAACGTCATCGAGCTGAACTTACCAAGCCCTCGATCTGTGGCGTTAGTGTGCCGTGGATTAGATTTAGCCTGTGTTGCCGGGCCGGTCTTGCCAGCGGTTTTGGTTGTCTTTTTAGCTCCAGGGGCAGCATCTTTGTGCTTTGTTGGGGTGCTGGTGCCCCCAGTAGGTTTGGCAGTAGTGGGCACAGTGGCACTTTGCTGCTTTTTAGATGGAGCTTCCCGAGGTCGAACCTGGTTCGTCCGGGCAGCGGGTTTAGTATTGCACTTCTCTGAGCAGGTTAGAGCAAGCAGGGAGGAAAAGTTAAGTAGTGACAGATTTAAAAAAGAAGAGACAAAAAGCAAGAAAAGAGATGCTCAAACAGGCATGCTGACAACCAGAAGCTTAGAAAGGTGAAGAAGACAGAGCCGGCGATGATAAACGAGTCTGTGGATGATGCGTGCCCATTAACCTTCCCAACCTCCAGGGTTACGGTATCTGTTGCTGTATTTTCAGATTTTTCTCCCTTTGCCTTTCTGAGTATTGACAAACAAATTGCTCCAAGTTCGATGCTAACAGGATTGAGATGCACAACACTTAAGCAGCATCACTCTGAAGAGCAAAAGCCTGTGGGAGAGGGGGGCATTATTGGAAGGAGATACAGCTCCGAATGAGGGTGCCTGCTGCAGGTTGATGTAATGGCAACATCTATTTGAACACATTAAATTTGTTCATAGATCCCTCAGCAAGTTTTACATCAGCCAGAAAACTGCAGCAGATTCATTGCAACACACTAAAGATGTGACTTCAAAACAGCTAAAAGAAGCATGCATTGTGAGGTACAGTATACAAAATTAAGCTGTTTCTATTTAACTTGCTGCCTCGCTCATTTAACAGTTAATACTCGTTATAAAGTCAATATTCAGTGTCAACCAATAGCCTAGTTTGTCTCATCTGAGAGTAAGAAACTTCTTGTTTTTGCAAAATATAGAATTAAATAAATCTAAACAATAATATCTAGAAATTAGGGATGCACAATATTATAGGCATAGTACTGACCGATATTAGCGATAAAGTTAAATATTGGACATTGACCATTCCATCAAAATAACTCACCAATATAAAAGGCACTA